GAACAAACTTGTGTCAACAAATATTAACGCGTACTCCGTGGATCGAGGGTTGAAGATTCCATAGACAACTGTCCAGATCTTCTTCAATCTTCGCCGGCACTGCAAAGCCCGACCAACACTCAAGTTGTTCAAGCATGTTTTTCTCTCCCCCCGCCCCCCCGCCGCAGATTCTGTTTTTAGAGATTCTTCAATATTCTATCTTGGATCCAAAGAGAAGCCAAATCAATCGCCCCTAAAGTGATAAACTGGTCATGATCTGCATCGCAAAGCTTTGCTTCTTGTGTTTGTGAGTAGTCGAAGCTAGGGGATGCAAGCAGCCTCAGGGTCCAGATGGCTGTCAGGCGAGCATTCCCTCCCCCCTTTGTTTGGGTAGTAGGTGTCAAAGCAAAGTCGGCCCATTTTTATTTTGCGTTGACTTTTACAGGAAGCCAACACGACAACAGTCATTCAGAAGAGTTGCTGGTGTTAGCACACCCATTTGCCCTTGGTGGGGTTTCGCCGCTTCAAAACTGACGTCCAAGGCTTCGGATGCTGAGACTGGTGAGGCTCGGGAGAACAGTTCGAAGCAGCAGCGGATTTGTCTGAGGGCACACTGAAATCAAATCAACATGTTGCACATAGCTTCAGATGACTGAGACAGTGGGTACCTCATACGTCATTGTTTTTTGGCCCAGTGGCACCTTGTTTCCCCGGAGTTGCCAGCTTTTCACGTGGGATAAGGGGATTGTCCTGGGTGTCGGTTTACGTAGCGTTTAAGCTGCCGATCAAAGCGCTCGGACGTCGTACTTGTTTTGCGCGTGGAATAGGACTTGACTACACCTAGATAGGATTGCTTCCCTGTTCCTGTCAAGTATATACTTAGCTTGTCTGCAAGCTCGTTGCAATGGCCTTGGTAGCTACTGGGATTTTGCCAGATTCTTGTGCAAGCCAATCCATTGGCTGCTGGGTTATGTTTGATTTTCATGCGAGGAGTAAGAATACCGCCTTTCTTGCTAGCATAGTTGCCGCGGGATGCCGAGACATGCAGCGGCTTTAGCTGCAAGCGTGGGGCTTGCCAGGACCATTCAAGGCTTCGACTCCCTGTATGCCGCTCGGCTGTCATCGAGAAGGTGAGAGCCATTCAAGTCCGAGACATGGAGACATATTGCGATGGAGCCAGGTGGACCAGATCAACATAGCCCCCCCACGACCCCCCAAACCCACATTCCTTAGGTCCCATACTAATTTGCAGGGCAATTCGAATTTTGAGTCTAAATGATCCAGTTCTTCTGTTCCCACTTTGTGCCCCGGAAAGAGGCGGAGTTATCATCAGCTTTCTTTTGGATCTTCGCAGAAGGAAGGTGCGTGGGGTGAAGTCTTATCTTGTTCAACAGCCCTGAATGCCTCACCCTGCTTCTGCTGTTTGCTTTCGACCATCCTGCTCAAGTCATGTACCCTTGTTCCCACACACCATTCCGCATGTTTGAGATCTGCCAGATCAATATTCCTCCCGAAGGGGCCCCCAATCACCATGTTAGTGGGACGAAACTGATCCGTGCTTGCACATGCTGGTGTTTTGTAAACCGTCTCAGCTTTGTTCCTTCAGCCGGGATGGCCCAACCGTTCGGCCTTGGTGCAGGCTCTTTGTTTGCACCCGACTTAGCCCGCCCTCGATTTGCCGAAGCGCCGATGCTGAGGTCATGATCACCTCGATCAGGGGCTCCGTGGCAGCCTTGTTCTGGAGCGTGATGCTGTTGATCCTGGTGCTGATGACGGTGTCCCTCTTCCTGGTGAACCTTGGGCTGCATGAATCATGTTTGGTCTAGTCCCTTCAAATTGAGCGATTTTGCTCTCCTTTTTTGGAGGTGCTCAAATATTGTGAACCTTGGGCTGCACTGGGGACTGGGGATGTTTGGCAGGTGGGCTTTTGAGTGCAATTCAAACGGTAAACTTGGGAGTGTTGCTTTGACAAACCAAGCAAACTGGCACAAGTTGTCAACTTAGTTTGCTACGGCCTTCCAAATGCCACCTTGGACACTATCCTTCAATGGGTCCCCAGATTTGAGCCATGATTCCGAGTGTTGTTGCTGTCCGACAGCTTCCGCCTGACGTTGCGGCTGGCCGCTTTTGGCTCTCTTCTTGTGTTTGTTACTGGCCAATTGCGGCAATGATGCTTGCCGCTCCTCGAAACTGGACTTTCGGAGCTGAACGGTGCAGGGCTCGCAGGCAAAAAGGATTAACAAAGAGAGCAGTACTGACCAAAGACCTTCTGCTCTTTCAAGTCCTCTGTGTTGATCTTTGGGTTTGCTCAGAGTCCTACGTACGCCACGGTGATGATGGAAGTATGGCTGGGGTCTGCAGGGTGAAAGGCTCCATTGGCTGCTTTGCAAAGCACTGGGCTCAGGGTGATGATGGAGCCATATATCACCAGCAACGAAGAAGAGGAGCGGCGCAGCGAGGTCTACAAGTACTACGGCGCCTTGTCGTGCCTTCAGACGGGCACCGCAAACCCAGACTCTTTTTCGAGCCTTTATCCCCTTACCAGGCAAGGAAGTGAACAGGGGACGGGAACCCCAAAAGGTAGTCTCCAAACTGTCCGGTTTCATGAATTTTGGAATACACACCTGGAACAAAACGTCCTTGGCAGAAAGGAAGTCCATTGGCTTTGCACCGCGAGGCCCACAGGGATGTCCAGCCTGGGTTGCTAAAGAAACACATGCACAACGGATTTCGGCCGCGGTTGCGCCAGTGGCTCTCATGGACTAGCCTTCAGTGGCAAACTCCTCCACAGGTGCAAAGATTGCAAGGTACAGCTCCAAGTTTTAGGACAGAAGAAGAACGGCCAGCACGTCTCGCTGCAAGGTACCTTTTCCAAGGCGATGCTCTCGCTCTTCGAGATGACCCTGGCCAACTGGCCCACGCCCTCGCGGGTTCTCACAGAGAGGCTTGGCTCAAGCCATCTGAACTCGCCGGTGCAATCAAGCTCGAGCACTGCAATGGGAACCCCAGATTGAAAAAAACTGGGATTCCTTCACTTTTGGAGGGGAACGCCCCCCCAACAATAGGACAAGTTTATAAGTCGCAAACATAGGCGCGGATGTTCGACTCACTCCATGGTTTTAGTTGTATAATTTTTGGATGCCTGGCGTTGATTGTGACGTTTGCTTGGTGCAGGTCTTGTCCACTGCCCCTCCGGTCTGAGATTTCTGGTTGCGGCCGCCAGTTGCGGGTATGAATGTCCACGGGGCAGATGTTTAACTCGTCAGGCGGGGGGTCTTCAATACCCGAAGGCAGAGCACGATTTGTGCTGACCCAACCTACCACCTAGCACGGAGCCCGACTGGATTCTCTCAAGGGTGAAGCTGTGTGCAAAAATGCATGTATGCAGAGTTTTCCCATGTGACTCCCACCCGTTGGAGGAAGAGAAGCTACTTCTTTTGACAAGTCTCAGTTGGAGAGCAGGTTGACCGAAAAAGCGATAGACCAACGCAGAGATCGTTTTCGGGAAGTCGCCCAGGAACGTCAGCGAGGCGTGGATCTTCTTCATCCTGAGCTTTCAACTCCTCGTGGGCTTCTCCGTGCCCTCGGCTTGGGGAAGTGGGCAGAGGTTTGGAGATGGATTGTCTTAAAACTAGGGCTCCCACAGATTTTGGGTTTCCTTTTGTTTTTTGCCTTCAAAGCAACCAAACAGCGGTTCCCTTATAGGCAGACAAGCCCAGATGGAGATGTGTGGTCTATTTAACAAGATGACCAACAGTGCCCTTTTGTTCCGGACTTGTGTTTGCTGACAGACACGGTCCTGAAGTTCTGGTGGCTTTCTGACAGTTGACACAAGTTGCTGCGGCAAGTCGTGTCTTGACAATTGAATGGTGTTCATTGTCTAGCAAGATGATTGCAAGCAAAAGGGTGTGTTTGTTCTTGTCCGCCTCTGAAATGCTAACGATGGCTTTTTTGTTGGTGGTTTGTTCTCGACTGCTTGACTGACAAGGGATGCGCGAGACCAAGTGTCAAGTAGACACGTACGCGCAGGTCTTGCGGTCTTGCCACAACGTCGGAACGTAAGGTGATGAAGGTGATCATGGGCGTGTTCCTGCAGATCACCTTCTATGTTGCCTCCAATGACGATGTCATCATGATGAGTCAGAAAGAGAGGCCGGAACGGAGCTGAGTGGGGTGATGCCTTGCAGATTCCTTCGGGAAGAGATGGGCTAGCAGTTGAGTTTCTCTGCTGGCCTTGTGGGGCCTGTGCTTCTCTTCGGTCCCCTGTTTGAGCCAGAAAAAAAGCGTGCCATCTATCGTTTGAGGAGCTGAGTCCATTCGCCAGGGCGCTGAAAGTCCACACCAAGAAGATGACGGCCCTTTTCGAGGCCGCGGACGAGAACGGAAACGGACGCCTAGACGAGGCGCAGGGCCGTTTGGGGCATCGAATGCGTCGAATCTTGGGTGGGAGTTGGACACCGATGTTGCTTTCCGGAGACAAACGTAAAAGAAGAGGAGCCCCTAACACAAAGCAACCATTTAAAGGGAAGAAGGAAAGCTGCAGGGAATCGATATTTGGCACGCATACCCAACTTGCTAGCTTTTTGGGGACTTGTTTTGTCCTCTTGGAATCACGCATCCAAGAAACAAGATCCATCTAAGATAGGACAGGTTCCAAGTGTTCTTCCTACCATTCACGAAGCTGTGCAAATGACAGTTGCTGAAGTCTCACCAATCCTATTCGTTTGGGGCGACCCCCTTTTTTGATTTCTGTTTAAAGAGGAAACTGAAGGACGCCCACTTTTCAGGGTCCCCTACTTGGGGAACCACCAACGGGATTGTCACCTTCAGGAAGCAAGTCGTACTTCCAGCATGATTTTTCGTTTGAAATGGACCACCAAATTTGGGTCCCCCAACTTGGCCCCCAACCGCATATTTTGGCATGCCACGATGTCCACACACTTGAGGTATGGGTAGAGACAGGTTTGTTTTTTTTTGCGGCAGAACCTGAGTCCCTTGAAGTGAGCACGTTGCACTCGCGCGTGTTTTGGACCACCATTCACCGGGTACAACCCTCTGGTTTGGACACCAAAACGGCAAGTTTGCAAGTGTCACATGGGTCTCTCTTTCTTTGGAGGTTCCCCCTTGTAGAGTTGCTTTCAATGGAAACCCAAACGCAAACCATATTGTTTTTGGGTCGGGGTCCTCTAAAGAAGACACACCCACATGGACCTCTCCGCCCAGACAGAGTTCGCAGACATCCTGCAAGACCCTGCCTGCCTAGCCTGGCTCAGCGTGCGGGCCATAGCCAGCGAGTGGGTTCTGCTCCGAAGGCAGAGTTGTTCAGCCTGTTCTTTTTTGGGGAAAGCAACCCCAGGGATTAGGTAGTTAGTCAAACTGTTGGAACCCAGGGGTAGGATGGTCCCAACCAAAATTCGTTGTTTTTTCCCCCCGTGTCTTGTTGCGGTGAAATAGGCTACCGTTGGACTTTGGGGAGATAAAACAAGATTTTAGAGAACAATCTTCGATCAGGGAAATGCTCTTTGAGTTTCGGGCGCGCATGAAGTTCATCCATTTGCGGTGTTTGGACTGCGGGTGAACGGCAAGCTGAGAGGCGGGGGTGACAGACTTGGCGTAGTTGCATCGCATCCATCAGAGACGTACCAAACAGCACTTGACCCTCTACTGTCAAATTTCTCCACCATTAATACTTTCCGTGTTCGATAGCTCTTCATCGGTATTATAATCACCAGAATCAATTAATTCATCCAACAATTGTTGAATGTAATCTTGCTTGTTAGATTCATCATGATATAATATTGGTGCCAACTAACTCTTTTGGAGTGAAGGGTTTTATGGCATTCTGGTTCGCAGCCTCTGGTCTGTTGTATTGTGCCCTGCAATGTTTTTGGAAAGCCGAATTGCGATCTTACTCAGCAATGCGGGGAGTTTGCACTTGTTCTCCCCACCCACCCTCCTCGCTTCCCTTTCGTTGGCCGCCCTCGGACACCCTGTCACTCGATACCATCCACTGAGCTCGGTGAACCTGAGGCCATGGGTCTGGAAGCCTCCATGCTCTCCGGCAAGGCGCTCTCTCCCAGAGAGGGTGGAGGGAGATTTAGGTGGCCCCGATGCAAACAAAAGGGCCTCCCCTCGAAGAGAGCCAACGGATTGGTTGGCAAAAGAGTGCAATGAGAGTTACAGACTTTCCATCCTGTCGGGCCAAGGTGCAACAAGCTCTCTGACTCACGACACATTTTCCAAGCCCCACTTCTCAAAAGTGGGGTGGGCCGACAAGGCCCAGCTCGCCACACCCATGAGTCGTGCCAACGGCCTGTCCGCAGGTATTCGTGACAATGCCGTGGGACCCAGCTGAGTGATACTAAGTGTGCCATGTGTTTGGTGCCTGCTTTGACAGCTCCACCCACTTCTGGCGCTTGTTATGATTGCTCCGCCTGCCCTTCCCCCTTTTTGTTTTCCTCCGCAGGACATAGAAGGACACAGCTGGCCTCAGTACTCTTTGGATGGCATGCGTCAAGAGCTCACAACTTCCTTGTATCTGGAATTGTCTATCTCCCTCTTGGTGATCTTAAGCAACACCTGGTGGCCCAGAATTAAACGTGAGTTTCCTTGCGGGTTTTGGGGACGATGTCTTTAGGTGGGGCTAGGAACCCCGCCCCACCTTGCTCGCAGGACCTGTATCGCCTGCTCTGCGTGGAGGGCACCAATGACCTGTCGGCGGAGGAGCTGTGCAAGGGCGTGGCAGAGCTCAAGGGCTCGGCCCGGACACCCAAGACGCCCAAGACGCGCTTGCGCCAGCGGGGCAGGGGGTGGGGCTGGGAGGGGGTGGGGAAGTGGGATGAAGTGATAGGGGCCCAGGATTTCAACCTTGTGCATGTAAAAGCTGTACATTTGGACGTGTAAAATTACGGGCGATTTGACGAAGTCACTAGAATTGGGGACATGAGACCAACAAATGTTGAATCCGAACCACTTTCTGGAATGGCAGCTCCGCAAAAGGCTCCAGGTTCGATAGACGGCGGGTCGTTCTGTTGGGGTTGGGGAGTGAACTTGAAATAAGGGCAATGATTCAATGATATGTGTGCAGCTAAAGAAATGTAACATATCCAAGACGAGCCGGATGTTGAGCTGGCCAGGTGCCAGGGTCTTTCCATATATGCCTCACACGGCATTCGTGAAATCGCAGATTTTTGCGGTCACAGTCCGAGGGTTTGACAGGAACCAAAGCCTTGTACTGCGAATGTGACAGCTGTGAATCAGTTTGTACTGGCGCTTCACCATACACCACTAGTCACTTGAGTTGACTGCCCCCTTTCTTTGCTGAGGGCACTGCCCTTTTTCAAGGAGACCCAATCCTTTGGGGGTTTGAAGGGGTGCTTCATAGAATCAAGAGCCACCACCCTGGCTTCTGTTGAGGCCCGCCAGAAAGCCATGGCTTAGGCGACGAGCCTGAACATGGCCCTTTTGCAGCGGGACCAATGCAGCATTAAGGAGAGATCCCCACCCTCCAATGTGTCAAAGCAGGGGTACCCATTGTGGTGGTGTTTCTTTTGGTTTCCCTTTTGCCCGACCACCAAGGAGAGTCCCCAATGCAGTCCCCGTGAGAAAGGTGTTCTTTTTACAATTGGGTTCCCAGCGCTTTGCATTCAAACATCTACAAGATCCAACCCCAGTCAAAAGACTTTCCCATGCAAAAGATTTGACTGAAGCAATGATATCCACTCTATCTCATGAGCAAATAACAATCGTACAGCCCAGGTGTCCCATCGCAAAACATTAGAACCCAACGGAAATCTGTGCCATGTGTTGCGCACCAAACTGAACTAAAAGGACACCTACGCATATATGTTTGTGGACCTTTATGGGACTGTTTATGGGCCCATCCTGGATGACCAACGACAATCACTTTAAGAAGATCCTACGAACCGGGTCAAAAATCCGCCGTAGACCATTGTTTTCCGTGGATTTGGAGGACTGAACACGTACTGTAGAGCCGTAAAGTCTGAGGGTATCATGTTCAGCCTGAAAGTGTCGGACCCAAAGCTCGGAGATCCCAATCAACTGGCAGTCATACGTGCCTCGGGTCAAACAGATCCTTGTACTTGAGGTTGGCAGGGATTGTCGTAGACACAGAGAATGGCGACAAGCACTGTTTGTTCTGTTCACTGTTCCCATTAAGATTAGCATAGGCATGAGCCATGACACTTTCTGAACAAGTTCCCCTGCAGTTCTTCCTTTGGCCAAACCCAAACGTCCCCTTGCTTCGGCTTCTTGCCGGTGTTATTCTTGCAATAGTCGACCAACCGGCTTCCTTTTGCTTGAAACTGCCCAAATCCAAGCGTCGGGTTTAATTTAAACGTCGATTCCACGAAATCTGTACTCCCGCCCCTTCCGAGCCAGTGGGGAAGTACCCGCTCCAAACCTTGAAGGAGCTCATGGACTCCATGTGCATGTCTTTGGTGAAGCTGCAGGGCAGACTGAAGTGGTCGGAGCACAAGAACGAAGGCCCTGGAAGGGCGGAGGAAGGTCTCAGGCGTGTGTTCTGCGTTTTTGGGAAGGAGGAAGCGGCGTACGGCTTGTTTCCCTCACAAGATGTTGAAGGCTCAGGTTTTGGGGTGATGGCTGCTTAGTGCTGAGATTAGGGTCGATTTATCGGTTCCACTTGCTGGGAAAAGGATTGCTTTGGTGTGGATATAGGGTGGTTGGTTGACGGTGTATGAATGGGAAGCTCTGGATTCCAGCTATATCCATTGTCCGAAGCCAGGACGTTCCCGCCATGGAGAGAAGATGGATCGGCCAGCTTGCAGGAACTGGCACCCTTTTTTTCAGGACTGCTTCTACATTTTTTGGCTGGGGTTCGGCTTGGACCAGTTTAGGGTTGGTTGAGTGGGTTAGTTTAGGTTGGGTTGGATGGACTATGCGGGGTGAATTTGTGGTTGTTTCAAAGTTGGTGCAGGGCTGGTTGAAGGTAGTATATAGCGTGGTTTAGGGGGGACTGGCGTGGGCTGGGGTGTCGATTGGGTGGGTTCGGGGCAGAAGCCGTTTGCGTCTCACGCTCCCTTGTCAGGTGAATGATGTGGCTTGTTGCGATCCCATAGTATTCAATGTATTCTTTTGTTCGGTGGTCCACCCGCTGGGTGGGGAAGAGCGCCCAGCTTCCATTCTGGGTACCCACCAAAAGGGTTGATCGTGGGCTGTCTGCGTCCACGTTGGGTTGCTCAAAACTGGAACCATGGCTTCAATGGTCCCGGGACAAACTGGAGCCCTGGGATGCCTTGGGCGCGCAGATTCCAGCACCAGCAGCAGCAGCAGCGACGCCGAGTCCCTCAGCGAGGCGGCGACGCAAAAGAGCCAGTCCACGCTCAGCCGATCAGGCCACGCGTTCGAGGGAAGTTTGGGGGTTCGGGTCCTGAAAAAATGTGTGGGGTGATTTTATTACCTTTCTATTTTTGAGCAGGTGCTTTTTGTTGCCCTTCCGTTTCTAGGATTGTCTTCATGAGCGTATTTCATGAGCAATGCTTGAAAAGGGCCCTGCTCAGGTAAACGGGGCGAGTTAGGAGTGGACTTCTGCATTCTCTCTCCTTGACCCTGGCGCCTTTTTGGGTGGATCGTTTCCCGGTGCGGGTCCATGGATTGCTCTGGAGGGGTGCCTCAGACTGCCGTCCGAACGCAAGGCACCCGGGAGCGGCGGAAGAGCCTTCAAGCCTGGATGCAGAACCGCACTGCGCGAGGCAGATGGGTGGATTGGATGCATGGACCTCCAGGGGCCAACTTGCTTTTCTTCTTTTTGTTTGGGCAGGGGATCCTTGGGGAACCCCCTTCAAAATAAACCTCCGAGAAGAGGATTGTTTTGTTTTGCATCAATCCGAGTTTGGGGACATGTTGTACTTGAGCGACCGAAAAGAAAGGAAGAGGAATGTATGCAAACGTGTTGAGGAGAACGGGCACGCAACATAATTCTTTATGAAAGGAGGTCATGTGTAGTCCTCAGAAAGATGTGAGGGTTTTCATGAGACTCGTTTCTGAGATAGGCTTGACCCTTGCCCTTTCAATCAGTTCACACAAAACCAAACCTGGTTCCCATGCACCCACGCACCCATGCACCCATGCACCCACGCACCCACACGACACGACACGACACAATGCGACGCGACACGTGACACCACACCACACCACACAACACCACACCAAATCAAACCACACCACGCACCCACCCACCCACCCTCCCGGGGCCGCGCGCACGCACGCACGCACGCACGCACGCACGCACGCACGCACGCGTACACGCGCACGCGCGCACACGCGCACACGCGCACACGCGCACACGCGCGCACGCGCACACGCGCACACGCGCACACGCGCACACACGCACACGCACACCCACACCCACTCACACACCCACACCCACACCCACACCCACACCCACACCCACACCCACCGAGCGCACGCGCCCCCGCCCCGCGAGCACGCGCCCCGGCGCCCCGCGCGCACTCGCCCGCGCCCCTGCTGCGCCCCCGCGCGCCCCCGCGCCCCGCGCGCCCGCGCCCGCCCGCCCCAGCGCCCCCCCCGCGCCCCCCGTGCCCCCCCGCGCGCCGCGCGCCCCGCGCGCCCCCGCGCGCCCCGCGCGCCCCAGCGCGCCCCGTGCGCCCCCCGCGCGCCCCCCTGAGCCCCCCTGCGCCCCCCTGCGCGTTTTCACGTGCCCACGTGCCCACGCGCCCACGTACCCACGTATCCCCGTACCCACGTATCCCCGTACCCACGTACCCACGTACCCACGTACCCACGTACCCACGTACCCACGTCCACACGTACACACGTCCACACGTACACACGTACACACGTACACACGTACACACGTACACACGTACACGCGTACACACGTACACACGTACACACGTACACACGTACACACGTCCACACGTCCACACGTACACACGTACACACGTGCACACGTACACACGTACACGTACACACGTACACACGTACACCGTACGTACACGTACACACGCACACACACACGTACACACGCACACACGGACACACGGACACACGGACACACGGACACACGGACACACGCACACACGCACACACGCACACACGCACACACGCACACACGCACACACGCACACACGCACACACGCACACACGCACACACGCACACACGCGCACACGCGCACACACGCGCACACGCACACACGCACACACGCACACACGCACACACGTACACACGTTTACACGTACACACGTACACACGTACACGTACACACGTACACACGTACACACGTACACACGTACACACGTACACATGTACACACACACACACCCACGCACCCACCCACCCACCCACCCACCCACACCCACCCACCCACCCACCCACCCACCCACCCACCCACCCACCCACCCACCCACCCACCCCACCCACCCACCCACCCACCCACCCACCCACCCACCCACCCACCCACCCACCCACCCACCCACCCACCCACCCACCCACCCACCCACCCACACACAGGACCATTGTGTTCAGCTGTGACATCGGAATTTTCCCGCTTGACTAAATGCCTCCATCTGGGATATGTTGGATTTTCACCAATTGGAGTCTGCCAGTTAGACGACTCGCGCCTCTGACACGGACGCCCGCGCAGGGCGCACGGTGGTGTCCAAGCGCGCCACGCAGGGTGCGGTGTCCCATGCCCTCTTCAACAAGGATGAGGAGGCCCCGGTTGCACTGGGGCCCCAGGGGCACGCTTTAGAATTTGGGTTTGTCTGGATCAAATATATAGACGTGGGGGGAACTCTGCTTCTCCAATCCTGAACCTGCCTTTTTCACCTCCAGTTTTTCGTTTGCTCCATGGGCCAAATAGGCAGGAGGGGGGGGGAAGTGGAAAGCCCCTTATATCAAACATGGCAACTGGGTACCATTTTATCCTCCTTGCCTCGTTTTATGCTTTTCCTTGAGGCCTTGAGGTCTTGCACCCATCGAAACCTCCCTTAGGCTTCGCCATTCCTCGCCTGCTCTCCGCTTCAGGAAGACATCCAGAGCCAAGACTCGCGGCGCACCAAGCTGCAGCGCCAGCTGAAGCGCATGGTGCTGAGCTCACCCTTCGAGGCGGTCTTCGGGGCGCTGCTTCTCGGATTGCGAATTGATTCGGTGCGGGAGAACGGGGGGGAATGCGTCTAACAATGTTTTCCGGCAGTCGACTTAGTTTGTTGCTTTGCCCCCCCCCTCCCACAACGCAATGCTATTCTTCTAGCTCTTATGGTAGCCAGGTTGAACCCCAAAATGGGGGAGGGTTTCCTTTGATCACCCACAGCCCAGGGGTCGGGAGGCTTCGGACGACGGCCGTGCCACTGGCAAGGCCACGCTTGCACTTTTGAAACTATTTGTAAGAAGTTCGTTGAACATTTGCGGCTCGAACCGTCATCGAAGCGAAAACTGAGAAGGCGTGGGTTGGGCGTTTCTCAGAGCACAGTATCAGTGAATTGCATCAAAGGATTTGCGCCAACACCATCGTCATGGCTTTCCAGACGGAGTACGACGGCTTGAACACCGGCTATAACCAAGGATCTTGGCCGCGTTTCTGCCCCGTGGGAGAGCGACAAGTTGGCAGTGTAATGCAGCGATCGAGAGGGCTTACCCTCGCTTATTTGCTCAGCTTGACACATGCGCTGATAGGTTCGGCTTGTGATTCTGAGAATTGCTATCGATAGAATCCCAAAGGGCGACCATATCCAAGCCAGGCTTGCGTGCCAAGAGGCGTGCCATTGTCCAAGCATGTCAAAACATGTCAAAGCATGCGCCCAAATCGACGGCCCTGAAATTGCTGAGCGCAAACCAAGGATTCGATGGCCGCCCGGCGGAAAGGGGCAGGAGACGAGCCAGGTGAACCAGGTCCCCAAAACTCTAACAGAATTGAAAGGTTGTTTTGAGGTCAGAATCCCAAATATGCGACATATATATATATATACATATATATATATATACACATAGCTATGAGTACCTTCAGATCTGCTCAAAGGGGGTATGCCATCTAATGTGCAACGTTGCATTTATCCAGTTACCAACTGTGAATGTCATGTCCGCAAATTATTCTTGAGCGTGAATTGAATCACTGTCTTGGTCATGGGGTGCCATGCAGGATGTAGAGCTTTTGCAAGCCAGCAAACGCAATGGTGGGGGAGAGTGTGACCTCCTGACAGGTCCCAGATTGCTACTTGTTCATTGTTTTTGTGCCCTGTCTTTAGCAAAGCATCAAACTTCCCCTGCCAACGGGCTGAAGGGGCACCAGAAGGAAGCCATCCATCCTCGGAGCCAATGTGATGAATCTGGCTGGGTCGACCTTTTTCGCTGACATTTGTTCATGTGACATGTACTTGTTCGACATTGTGTCAAACATAGGGAACCCTTTTGGTAGTTCAGAAGGCGAAAAGCCTCTTTTCCCGAAGAAAAAGGGCCCCACCAAGACAGACAGTATAGACGGATCCCGGGAATCTAAGAACAGGCCTTAAAAACCACTCGTTCCTTCCTTCCTTCCTTCCTTCCTTCCTTCCTTTCTTCCTTTCTTCCTTCCTTCCCGAGTTCCTTCCCGAGTTCCTTCGAACCGGAGGCTTGGATCTGCCGGCCAACGAGATTTGGCCGGGGGCGGAGACCGCCTTCGTGGTGTCGGAGTACTTCTTCGGGATCCTCTTCACCCTGGCACCTCGATTTGGCGTGGAGAAGGGGGTTGGCGTGTGCGTGGGGGTCACCAAGTGAGAATGAGCAAAATTCCGGTTGAGGTGCTTTTGGGATGTGTTTCTGGATTCAAAGATTCAACAACACCCTCGCTTTTGGTTGTGGGCCTGTGGGAAAGGATGGCTGGGGGGCCGAGGGAATCAAGGGATTGTCCAGAAACTTGGCGGGGTTTCAAGGGGCGGGACTCGAGCAGGGTGGATGATCAAGTCGGAACACGCCCCGAAGTTGAAACTAGACTTTACCCCTCAAGGTTGAACTTTTCAGAATGTTGAACCTCATTAGACTCATATTTAGAACCCCCCTACAACCTTGGGTTGGGGGGGGGGGGCGGGTTCTAACTATGACCTGGACATGAACCAGAGGTTTCGAGGCCAGTGGCATTCGATGGTGTGCTGGTGGGGGTTGAACCTGCTGGTGGACGCATCTGATTTCCACCGCTGGTTCGTTGAACTCCAGCGATTTGAGCTGCAATCAACCGGAGGAGGTTGTGCCGCACTTGGTTTCCAAGGGTGCCTCTCGGATTGCGGCCGCCGTTTGGCCCCAAGGAGTCATGGCACACAACATGCCAACTGCCTACACTACATAGATGACAGGAATGTTCATTTTACTCGTTGGAAACTCCGGCCAGTTGAACTAAAATTCAGCCCCTTCGCCACTTCACCCCCAGCAGAAAAGCGATATCAGGCCCCAAACAAGCGGAAACCGCTGGAAAAACTCTAAGCTTTGCTGTGGAGCGTCGCTCTCGTTCCGAGAATTGACACCGGAGGGGAGCATTAACTCTAAATGAAGCAGCGGTTCCACCGGGAAAAAAGAGGCCAGGGCGTGGCTGGCTGCCAAAGTCGAACTTTGGCCTTTGAATGCACCTTCCTCTTGTTGTCCGGGTATTGTAAAGGAAGGTCGCAACGGTTCGTCACAGCGAGGCTTGCAACATGTGAAGCTGGGTTCTGGTTCTGGTCTTGTCCAAACATCAAGCCATCAAGCTTTGCCGACGCAAGGACTTCAGGTTGCGCCAATGCGCCACCTGCGTCGCCTGCCCCAACTTCTGGCCACCTTTGCTTTGCTCAGTGCGCAGCCAGAAATCACCAGCCGTGCCCGCGCACGCAAGCGTCGCGCTTGTGCTGGCAACTAAGGAGATCTTGACCAAGATCGGGTGTCTATACCACCATTTCTTCAAGGCCTCGGCAGAAACTCAATGTTCAACTTGGACAACCTGAGGCATGATGAATTCACCAGTTTCTGACACGCTAAAGGGTGTTTCCTTTGGTTTCCCAATGCAAACCGCTTGCACACGAGGTGGTGGCTGTTTGTTCGATATTTGGTTTCCATTTGCCTGAGGCTAAAGTTTCTTCCTTTGCGATCGATTCTGTCAAATGGGAGCAACCCTTGCGCCAGGATCCATGGAACTTGATGGACTTTGCAGTGGTGGTAGATGCTCAGCCGCATCTTCTAGGTGCGGGTCAGTGGGCCCTTGTTCCTTTTCTCGAAACTGCGTTTTGGTTTTGCTATTTCCATGAGCACGAAGGATTTGTGATACGCTCTTCATACTGCTTTGGGTCCCTTGCAGGTGCCATTGTGAATACTACTTCACCTTGGTTTTGTTGTAGTGTTTATGGCTCTGGCATTGTATTCTTCTGGTTGCTTTGGGCTGAATCTGTGGGTTTTTCATGAATCCTTTGTTCCTTTCTTAGCTTTCTGTTGCCCCAAACACAACGCCTCCAGAAAACCGCCCGCGCCCAAAGCAAGCGACAACAAAACGCCACAAGGCTTCAGCCGAGGTTTGGTTGATGGAGACGATGACGGGGTCCGAGGACTTTCCGGTCCAGCCGATGATCTTGAGGCTTTTTCGGCTGATAAAGCTCACTCGCGTGGCGGCTTGACTGAAGAGGGCTGGACGGTTTGGTGTTCGGGGCGGTTGTTGCGCAACCTGGGACGAGCTGGTCTTTTTGGTGGTTGTTTTTTGCCTCAGCAAGCACTTGTGAAGTTGGTGTAAAAAACCTCGCTGCACCAGAACCGCAAGCAGGGCAGGCTCCAGCCCAGCGCAGTTTTGGAGATCTTTGAGCTAGAAGCCAATGCTTGGCCTATCCTACCCACCTTGAACATTTGACCATGACAACTTGACAACGGAATTGCACCCAGACCACCCCGACCTATGAATGCTGATTCGGTTCAGGTGCGCCTGGTCAGAATCCTGGAGAAGTACGATGCCTTGTACCTGCTGGGGCCTAAAGTGCGTCGAACATGAGCTCGACCCTTCAAAACGTTGTGATTTTGGTGTGCCTGTTGAAAACATTCTCATGCAGCGGACACCAGATGTGGCAAGTCAGGTGGTACAGATGGGAACCCTGCGATTTGCGCATGTTTGTGATTAGCCACCTAGACTCCCAAAGCTACTGACAGGAGGTCTTTGTATGCTGCATGAACAGGAGGGTATGACTGACGCTTCTGTCGTTTGTACGTGCACGTTCATAAGATAGTATGGTTCTACCTCATGGGCGCACAACGACCAGAGATTGGGGGGAGACAAGCTGCCAGGTGCTTTGGCCATGCGATCCAGTCTTTCCGGAGGGACTTTCGTTGGGGGACTCTCCACCGGATTCTCCACTGCCAGACCGCTTGCTGTTTTTCATGGGAAGAGCCAACTGGTTTGTTCTCAATAGGGAATCACCGTGGGTCTTGGGAATGACCCTAGTTCTCTCAAAGGAAAACCACAAGGGATGCTTCACTTCGGTGTCGTTGCCTCGTTCTTTGCGGATTGGCCAGGTGAAGAGTCTATGTTTGTCGCATGTCGCGCGTGGATCCAGGATGATCGCCTCCATCCGCGGTAGCGTGGCGGCGCTGGCATGGTCCACCATCCTCCTGCTGGTTGCCGGAGCCTCAGGGGGACCCGGATGGATCCAGGATACCAATCCTATGAAGGGGCGGCCTGAGGATGTGGAATGCTACAGGTTTCCATATTTGGGTAACTGACAGCATGAGTGGTATACTGTTGAGACATGGAGACAGCCCAAATTTCGGAGAGAAAGCTGGTCTTCGCATGTCCTTTTGCAGAAAGAAGGTCCGGCGCTCATGTAGTTATTTGGTTGGCTTCTCCAAGGTGCGCAAGTGAGGTTCAAAACCCCTTGGGCAAATGGTGGTTTGATGTGCACAGGGGCAGGGGGTGCAGCAGATTTTGGGTGCAACACCTTGATCTCCAGCAGTCCTCAGGCCAAACACCCAGAAGGCAGCAACAGATTTGATGAAACCCGACCACGGCCTGAGGTACAGACGATGCTCGCCTTGGTCATAACCACGCTCCTGGAGGAGGGGGCACATCTCGTTGCTTCGTTGCGCTGAGTCGATCCAGGCGACTTGTGTTCATCCGGCTTTGCCCACTATCATTTTGCCAGCACGGAGCTTGGCTGGATTTTAGAGAATCAATGATTTCAGCCGCGAACATAAAATTGCCCTCGCCCCCCTCTCACTTCCCTGTAACCCTCAAAGAGCCTATTTCAGGGGTTCTTGGGGTGGGGAGAGTTGCAACAGCGGCCAGGCTTACTTTCTCAACGATGACTGGAAGGGAGACAAGCTGGAGGCAGGGGAGGCTTGCAATTTCTCCCCCCCAAGAGGACGTGCCTTAGAAAAGGGGAAGCTGCAACATGGTTTACTTTGAACCATCAAAACGGCGTACAGTCAAACAAGAGACCAAAAAATATTCCTCTAGGAAAGGGATTGTAGCTTCCCCAGACTTGGCGGCTGAGGTCTTCAAGTACTATGGCACTTTCTCCCGAGCCCTGCTGACGACGCTCGGCTATTGCCTGCCATGTTTCTTTTTTTGGTGGGGTCCCTCCAAACAAGAAAGCCAAACGAGAGAACGGTGGGTTCTTTGGGGATTTTGGGTTCTTGAAAGGTTTGGGAGGTGGTCGTTTGGTTACTTTTGGTTTTCAAACAACACACTTGAAAGCAGCTCGGTGCTCGTGAGCCAGCGTTGCATCTGAAGATAGGATGTGGACCCCCCAAAAAAAAACGAAGAAGACAGAAACAAGTGCATGGGTTCATTTCCTCTCCCTCAGAAAGGGTACCCTTCTGAATCTGGCCATTCTGTCCATTCCGTTTGCCCAGCTTCTTCACGTCGAAGGAGATGCGCGCCATTGCCCAAAACGCAGAACTCGCCTCAGGATGTTCGAGATCACCCTGGCAAACTTCATCCCGGAGCCTGACTCAGAGTGTTGCGGTTCTCTGGAGCAATCAAAACCCGTATTGGCCAAATTTGTGAGGGGTTCTACCAGGAAGGGCTATCTAATTCTTTGGAATCATTCTGGCACCTAAAGTGGATAGGTTGTGGGCACTGCCCACCTCGTCAGGATGGGGGTGTTGCGAGATCTAGAGTGCCTCGCTAGGTCCGCCTTTCGCAGAGCTCGCGCCGTTCTCCTTTCTTCCTTTTTCCGATAGGCCTCATATTTGATTTTGCCTGCGGGAAGTTTTCGCCGCATCCTTTGTGAAGCCTGGCCAAGGTAACCAGGAGTATGATCAACAATGTCAGCCAGGCGCTTTTTCCGGAGCGCAGTCTTCATAGCCGACAGAGGACCATCACATGGCCTTAAGAGGAAGTTTATCATTCCCCAGATGCGATGTCAGTCGGAGGAAGCGAAACGGGCAAGGTGAAGATGGATAAGTGCCGTCAAGACCAGTGAAGAAGCTTTGAAGCGGGGCTGTAGGTTTTGTGCTGTGAACCGTGAGCCACAAGAGTAACATCCAAGAATGCTCAGCCGCAGGCGTACTTCATCTTTGGCATGCTGCACAAGTTCTTTATAGGCGCTGCAGATTTTCGTCGAGGTTGTCTAGGGCTGAGAGGCTTTGAGCAGACGGCATCAGATGGCAGGTTTTCAGGCACCAACCAGGTCCTTACTTTGGAAAAACTGATGGCCTACCTTGAAGCGAATGTCCACCACCTGGCTCTCGGCTCTTTCCGGAGCTGAAGGGAGCAAGCAGCTAGCAGCATACCAAACATTATGGAACAATGTTTCCGATTGATATCGAGGAACATCCTGGGCAGAGTATTGCAATTATGGCGAGCAATTCTGTGTTGGGGCGGCGTGGGTTTTTGCGAAACGTGGACGGATCAGCCTTTCTTTGCCGACATCGCCTCGAATTGCGCCCTTCATTTGCCCGCCCAATTCTTTGAGTTGTCTCCTGTTGCAAGTCAAAGGCCATGAACAACCTGAAATTGTCCATGGCCTGCGGTTAGTTTACCAGCATTACTATTACTTCAGAACCAACCATGACAACTATCTCCTTCAAGCAGGACGAGTGCAACACAATGATGTGCAGAAGTAGCAGCAAGGGCACTGTTGTTTCTCCTCTGTCATCAAGGTTTGTTGGGCCAAGGCTCATCTTTTGGGCAAAGAGGAGGACAACACCAGTTGCACCCTTACGTGCAAGGGTCTTTCTTACAGGGACGGCCCATCCGAAGTATGATTATTGTGATGTTGATTGAGTTCCTTCAAACACCGGCCTTACATCTGACACCCCAACGAGCTACATTTCCTTTTCTAGGCCGTTTTCTGTGTCGCATGCTGCCAGGTTTGGCGGTTGTCATGGTGATCACCGGGGTCTTCATTCAGGCGCCGAGCTTTAACAACAACCGCAAGGTTGACGCAGCTAGGGACCATTTTCCCGAAGGGATTGGTGATTCCTGCGGTGCAAGCGTTTAAGCCAACCGCTCGGAAGTGAAATGGAACCCCAGGCTCTTGAGTGAGAGGGCCCTGCGGGCCGTGGATCCGTCGCAAGTGAACTAAGCCAGGGGATAGTGAAGATTCCCCCACTGGTCCGAACATGGGGAGCTCAAGCCCAAAATACAGGAATTTATTCACCCCTGGGTCATTTCAGGCAGCTCCAAGGCCAGCTGCGTTCAGGAGACAATGAAGGTGGCGCAGACGGACAACAACATCATGCTGCAGCTTGGCCCAAGATGCGGTGGGCATTGGCCAATTCAACAAGCCCGTTGTCGGCACTAGTGCGATGGTTCCCCTTTAGACCACCATTTAGAGGGTAGTTTTAGGGTGTCACTTGGACGAGTGCAGTTTGACCGAAAGCTCAGGCTTTTGAGCCTCAAGCAGGTATAGAGACACCTAGTATTGCGTAAGGACTCGACAAAAAGGTCAAGGGCTTGTGAACCCCTTTGGGTTCTGTGACTTTCAAGAAAGTTAGCTTCACCCCTCATTCCTCTCAGGTTGAGAGGTCCCACTAGACTCCCTCTTTCAAGGAAAACCTCCTGTGTGCAACCACAAGTTTGCATCAGTGGGGACACGAGCCTTTGGGCCATTGCACAGTTTGGTTTCACCGGGATGTGTAATGCTGATTTCACAGATGTTACCGGATCAACTTACGCATAGGGAGATGCTTCACTTTGGGTCCGGGGGCTCGCTTTGCGCCCAGGAGCCAGCGAGAGCGGTCCAACAGGCTGCATACGAGGACCCGTCCGCCTATGTGGAAAAAGCGGAACACTGCGGTGAATAACTTGGTTGGTGTCCCTTTCGTTTGCTTCAATTCCAACCAAAAGGGGTACCCTCGAAAACACAGGCCCACGTGGTAAGCACAACAAGGTCCAAGCGAAATTGGGCCAAGCTCAGCAGCTGCGGGCAGAATGTTGCAAACCTGGGTTTGCAACTTTAATGTCGAGAGATGGATAACCCCAGCCCATTTGATTCCTCGTAGAGGCTAACAGTAATTGGAATTTCCAAAACCTGCTGTGGATCCCAGGCTTCTTGGGAGAGCCCAGCAGATGCATGTTGGCTTTCGGGGAAAAGGTAAGACAATTTGCCCCCTGTTTCCCACATGTAAATAAATATACATATATATACATATATATATATATATATGGTACCCCCCCCCCAGTACCCAGGTGTTGTTGCATCACGTATCAAAACCATTGATATTTACAGTGTATTTTGATTGAACTCATGCATTTTCTGCAAGGCCATTTTGTGGACCACAAAAACAAAAACAACAAACCACAAAACCAAAAAAAAGCCAAAAAAAAAACAAAAAAACAAAAAAATCAAAAAAAAAAAACAAAACAAAAAAAACAGTCAAAAAAAGAAAACAAAAAACCAATCCTAGCCCCCACCATGGCTGGGATTCTTTGGTATTTTTTTTTTTTTTGGTTTTTTGGTTTTTTTTTTTTTGTTTTTTTGTTTTTTTTTTTGTTTTTTTTGTTTTTTTTTTTTTTGGTTGTTTGTTTGTTTTTTGTGTTTTTTTGTTTTTGTTTTTTAGGTTTTTTGGTCCAGGCAAATGTTGCGCAACAAATTCCAATTGTTGCGCAACATTTGCGGAGCATGATGAGAGGATATGTGAACCTTTGCGAAAGGAGGCATGTTCTGGGTGAGAGGATATGTGAATTTTCTGTAGAGAAGAGTTATTGAAAATGACATGTTCTGTGTGAGATGATATGTGAGTCTTTGTGGAAGAGTCAGGGTTACAGAGATTCATAAAAGTACAGCAAAAGAGAGTAAATATCATATAAATCCAGCATGTATGTAACACAAACTGTCCCAGCCATAGCCTGGCTTTATTCTACACAGGGTTCACTTTCCTTGGCAACTCTTTCACATATGCTGCCTTTGTTTCATTGAAAGAAGACATGTAAAAAGACATGTGTTGGGTGAGAGGATGTGTGAATTTTCTGTGGAAGAGTCTTTGAAACAAGGCATGGTTTGTGTGGGAAGATATGTGAATTATCTGTGGAAGAGCCTCTGAAAGAAGGCATGGTTTGTGTGGGACGATATATGAATTGAATTTTGTGTGGAAGAGCCATTGAAGAAAGGGGCATGGGTCACGTCCAAGGCGTCTTTCTTCAATGAGGCAAACCTCCTTCCTCTGGTCTCCCAGTGTGCAAATCTGAGCTGTTCTTCCTGCCGGCTTCCGCGGTCAAAGCACATCTGAACCAAGCCCAAACCTGGGTACCTGGGGGGGGGTAGCATATATACATATATATAGGTATGCATGTGGTGTGTTGGCCTTGAAGGGTCCGGAGACATAGATCCCTCGGCAAACTTGAACGACATGGCTATGAAACAACGGCTGTGTACTGAACTGTCCAAATTGGGCAGGGGTGTTCGTACTGGTGATTCTGGTGATTGGATGCCGCAGGGCTATGACATGGTATCCCCCTGCTGGCGCAGTTTGACCAGGTTCAACACCCGCTTACCCAGTTCAGAAAGGAACGCTCCAGCGGATGTGTCTTTGTTTTTTCCAGGGTTGCCCTTTTTTGGGTTGTTTCCTCCCATTTTGTCAGCTCCGCCATTTAGAGACAGCCCGCGGAATTTTTTTTCAAGCAAAAACGGAACCTCAAAGAGAGTCCCCTAAGGGGATGATCCAAAACACCTGGGGGGCCCCGTCAGATTCCAGGTTGGAGGATGTGAGGCCAGCGAAAGCCAAGTTTTCTCCCAGCAAAATGCACCCCCTTCAAGAGCGTAATGTTTTTGTGGGGAGGGCACCCTTTGTTGATACTTGTTCTTTTGGGGCCCCAAGGAAACCCTCCATTTTGGGAGGATGCCCTTTCGCAGCCCTCCTTTCCACAAACGTGGAACCCGCCAGAGGGGTCTAGGGGTCTTCCAGAATCCCTGAGAAAAACCGCGCCATGACACACTTTCAACAAAACGGATCCGAAGCCTCGGATGCGGGGCAGGAAGATGAAGACCCTCTTCGCTGTGGCTGACCTCGACGGCTCTGGGCGCCTCGAGCTGGAGGCGAGACGCGTGCCGTTTGGCTTCTTGCAACCGGCGCCGATTGTTATTTTTGGCACGCAAAGGAAACCCCGGAGACCATGTTACTGGTAAACAAACTGTTTGTGGGGGGGGGGGAAAAGAACCCATTCCTTCCAACTGTGGAATTCAAAGTTGAGAGAAGGGTGCTGGAAGACAGTCAGTTGAGAGAAAGGTGGAAGACTGCAGTCCGTTTGGAAAAACAACCCCCTTGTCCACTTCCACGATTGGAACGTGGGAAATTTGGAGCCCCCTAATGTACCCAATGTACTCAACAAAGGCTCTCTTCAAACCAGGAGCTCCCTTATGTTTGAATCCTCCATTTCCTCGATGCCAGGGCTTCCGTCTTCAAGGGTGTGGGTGAGTGGGTCTGCTTTCCAGCCCGGGCCATCCAGAAATCAAGGCCTCGAACGAAAGGGCGTGTCTTTCTGGCTTCCTGTTTGGTTCCGTTTAACGCTATCCCAAAAAAGAGAACTTTGGCTGTCAGCCGGTTGCGCCGAATCTGAAAAAGGTATGTCCACCCTCCCTCTACTTGGACCAATTGAGTTTCAACTTCCAAGAAGCTCAGGTCGTTGAGAGGCACAGAGATTGAAAGAGTTTGAACCATTTGGGGGTTGACACGCACCTGGCCAGTTTTTGGTGGACGGGACAAGACTTTGCACCGGTCATTTTCAAGTTGGGACTCTTTGGCTCTGCTTGGCCTGTGGACAAGCTCCAATTACCAGTCCAGTGCAAGCCGACAGGTCCTACTTCGGCACGGGCTTTGTCAAAGCTCCCGTAAAGAAACAAATATTCATTTTCGATCCCAATCGTGGTCAAAGGACCCTGGGCTATGGCGTCCAGTTGGTTGGATGCAGCCTGAACAGATTTGCTCCGAACCTAGCAAGGCCAATCCAAGGCAGACAATTGGCAAAAGTGGTCTCTCCGTGTTTGGAGTATGGAGAGCAACCTGGTGTGGCGTTTGGGACCAAACCCAATATCTCCCGCAAGAATTTGCTGGGCGCCGCTTCGAGCAACCTGCCAGGAGTTTGAGCGGATTTGCCAAGATGAGTCCATGAAGGCCGAATGCTTGGTTGCTTGGTTGATTTGGTTTGTTTGGCTTGGCTGCCTTCATGGTTGGTTGCTTCCATTTTGTTGGTTGGTTGTTTTCTTGATTGGTTTGCTGCTTGGTTGATTGCTTGGTTGCTTGGTTGCTTGGCTGCTTGCTTGCTCGCTTGCTTGCTCGCTTGCTTGCTCGCTTGCTTGCTTGCTTGCTTGCCTGCCTGTCTGCCTGCCTGCTTGGTTGGTTTGTTGGTTGGTTGGTTGGTTTGGGTGGTGGTTTGGTTGCTTGGTTGGTTGCTTGGTTGGTTCAGTTGGTTGGTCGGTTGTTTGTTTTAGAGCTTCCGTTGATACCCCTTTTCTGACTTGCCGCGTTTTGAATCTGACAGAGTCTTTGCACATTGACAAAGACGCTGGGATGCGGAACTGCACTGTATCCGCAGAGAAGCAGGTGTCGTTCTCAGTCTGATGTGCAGTTTGATGTTGCTTATTTTAACGCCTCCGGCTCAGGCCGCCGACATTACAGGCCTGCTTTCTTATTTGCGTCCCTTTGGAATTGTCCCCTTGCCCCGTTCCCCTCTGAGATTTTGCCCCCCTTTCTTTGTCGAGATCCATTCCCCCTTTCCGCCCTAAGGCCTTTTCTCCCTCTGATTTTTCCCTTTTCCTCCCTAAGATGTTTTCCCCCCTCTCCCTGTTGAGATCCTTTCCCCCCTTTCCCCCCGAAGGCCTTTTCCCCCCTGAGATCTTCTCCCTTTTCCTCCCTTTCCCCCACTTTCCCCCCGCGGCCTTTTCCTCCCTGGGATCTTTTTCCTTTCCTCCCTGAGATCTTTCCCCCCCCTTTCCCTGTTGAGATCCTTTCCCCCCTTTCCCCCCTACGGCCTTTCCCCCCGCTGAGATCTTCTCCATATTCCTCCTTAAGATCCTTTTCCTTCCTAAGATTGTTTCCCCCCTTTCCCTGTTGAGGTCCTTCCCACCCTTTCCCCCCTCAGGCCTTTCCCCCCCTGAGAGCTTCTCCCTTTTCCTTCCTTAGATCTTTCCCCCCTTTCCCTGTTGGCCTTTTTTCCCCCAGATCTTCTCCCTTTCCTCCCTAAGATCTTTTCCACCCCTTTCCCTGTTGAGATCATTTCTCCCCTTTCCCCCCTACGGCCTTTGCCCCCAGATCTTCTCCCTTTCCTCCCTAAGATCTTTCCCCCCCAGTTCCCTGCTCAGATCCTTTCCCCCCTTTCCCCCCTAAGGCCTTTCCCCCCCTGAGATCTTCTCCCTTTTCCTCCCTAAGATCTTTTGCCACCTTTCCCTGTTGAGATCCATTCCCCCTTTCCCCCCTAAGGCCCTTTCTCCCTCTGAGTTTTTCCCTTTTCCTCCCTACGATGTTTTCCCCCCTCTCCCTGTTGAGATCCTTTCCATCCTTTCCCCCCTAAGGCCTTTTTTCCCCCCGCGATCTTCCCCCTTTTCCTTCCTAAGATTTTTCCCCCCCTTTCCTTGTTGAGATCCTTTCCCGCCCTTTCCCCCCTAAGGCGTGTTCCCCCGCAAGATCTTCTCCCTTTTCCTCCCTAAGATCCTTTGCCTCCTTTCCCTGTTGAGGTCCTTTCCCCTCTTTCCCCCCTAAGGCCTTTCCCCCCCTGAGATCTTCTCCCTTGTCCTCCCCAAGATCTTTTCCCTTGGTTGAGATCCTTTCCCCCTTTCCCCCTAAGATCTTCTCCCTTTTCCTCCCTAGGATCCTCTCCCACCTTTCCCTGTTGAGCTCCTTTCCCCCTTTTCCCCCTAAGGCCTTTTCAGATCTTCTCCCTTTTCCTCCCGAAGATCCTTTGCCCCCTTTCCCTGTTGAGATCCTTTCCCCCTTTCCCCCCTAAGGCCTTTTCCCTGCCTGGGATCTTCTCCCTTTCCTCACTGAGATCTTTCCCCCCCTTTCCCTGTTGAGATCCTTTCCCTCCTTTCCTTCCTAAGGCCTTTCCCCCCGCTGAGATCTTCTCCCTATTCCTCCTTAAGATCCTTTGCCTCCTTTCCCCGTTGAGATCCTTTCCCCCCTTCCCTTTAAGGCCTTTCCAGATCTTTTCCCTTTTCCTTCCTAAGATTGTTTCCCCCTTTCCCTGTTGAGATCCTTCCCACCCTTTCCCGCCTAAGGCCTTTCCCCCCTGAGAGCTTCTCCCTTTTCCTTCCTTAGATCTTTCCCCCCTTTCCCTGTTTGCCTTTTCTCCCCCAGATCTTCTCCCTTTCCTCCCTAACCCTTCCCTGTTGAGATCATTTCTCCCCTTTCCCCTCTAAGGCCTTCGTCCCCAGATCTTCTCCCTTTCCTCCCTAAGATCTTCCCCCCCCCCCCTTTCCCTGCTGAGATCCTTTTCCCCCTTTCCCCCCTAAGGCCTTTCCCCCCCCTGAGAGCTTCTCCCGTTTCCTTCCGAAGATCTTTTCCCCCCTTTCCCTGTTAGGCTTTCCCCCCTGAGTCCTTCTCTCCCAGATCGTCTCCCTTTCCTCCCTAAGATCTTCCCCCCCCTTTCCTCCTTAAGATCTTTCCCACCCTTTCCCTGTTGAGATCCTTTCCCTCCCAAGGCCTTTCCCCCCCCTGAGAGCTTCTCCCTTTTCCTTCCTAAGATCTTTTCCCCCCTGTCCCTGTTGGGCTTTCCCCCCTAAGTCCTTTTCTCCCAGATCTTCTCCCTTTCCTCCCTAAGATCTTTTCCACCCCTTCCCCTTTCCCCCCTAAGGCCTTTGCCCCCAGATCTTCTCCCTTTCCTCCTTTCCCCCCTTTCCCCCCTAAGGCCTTTCCCCCCCTGAGATCTTCTCCCTTTTCCTCCCTAAGATCTTTTGCCATGTTTCCCTGTTGAGATCCATTCCCCCTTTCCCCCCTAAGGCCCTTGCTCCCTCTGAGTTTTTCCATTTTCCTCCCTACGATGTTTTCCCCCCTCTCCCTGTTGAGATCCTTTCCCTCCTTTCCCCCCTAAGGCCTTTTTTCCCCCGGCGATCTTCCCCCTTTTCCTTCCTAAGATCTTTTCCCCCCTTTCCTTGTTGAGATCCTTTCCCGCCCTTTCCCCCCTAAGGCGTTTTCCCCCGCAAGATCTTCTCCCTTTTCCTCCCTAAGATCCTTTGCCCCCTTTCCCTGTTGAGATCCTTTCCCCCCTTTCCCCCCTAAGGCCTTTCCCCCTCTGAGATCTTCTCCCTTGTCCTCCCCAAGATCTTTTCCCTTGGTTGAGATCCTTTCCCCCTTTCCCCCCGAGATCTTCTCCCTTTTCCTCCCTAGGATCTTCTCCCACCTTTCCCTGTTGAGCTCCTTTCCCCCTTTTCCCCCTAAGGCCTTTTCAGATCTTCTCCCTTTTCCTCCCTAAGATCCTTTGCCCCCTTTCCCTGTTGAGATCCTTTCCCCCTTTCCCCCCTAAGGCCTTTTCCCTGCCTGGGACCTTCTCCCTTTCCTCACTGAGATCTTTCCCCCCCTTTCCCTGTTGAGATCCTTTCCCCCCTTTCCCCCCTACGGCCTTTCCTCCGCTGAGATCTTCTTCCTATTCCTCCTTAAGATCCTTTGCCCCCTTTCCCTGTTGAGATCCTTTCCCCCCTTCCCTTTAAGACCTTTCCAGATCTTCTCCCTTTTCCTTCCTATCATTGTTTCCCCCCTTTCCCTGTTGAGATCCTTCCCACCCTCAGGCCTTCCCCCCCCCCCCTGAGAGCTTCTCCCTTTTCCTTCCTTAGATCTCTATTTCCTCCCCAAGATCTTTTCCACCCCTTTCCCTGTTGAGATCATTTCTCCCCTTTCCCCCCTAAGGCCTTCGTCCCCAGATCTTCTCCCTTTCCTCCCTAAGATCTTCCCCCCCCCCTTTCCCTGCTGAGATCCTTTTCCCCCTTTCCCCCCTAAGGCCTTTCCCCCCCCCTGAGAGCTTCTCCCGTTTCCTTCCGAAGATCTTTTCCCCCCTTTCCCTGTTAGGCTTTCCCCCCTAAGTCCTTTTCTCCCAGATCTTCTCCCTTTCCTCCCTAAGATCTTCCCCCCCCTTTCCTCCCTAAGATCTTTCCCACCCTTTCCCTGGTGAGATCCTTTCCCCCCTTTCCCTCCCAAGGCCTTTCCCCCCCTGAGAGCTTCTCCCTTTTCCTTCCTAAGATCTTTTCCCCCCTTTCCCTGTTGGCCTTTTTTCCCCAGATCTTCTCCCTTTCCTCCCTAAGATCTTTTCCACCCCTTTCCCTGTTGAGATCATTTCTCCCCTTTCCCCCCTAAGGCCGTTTTGCCCCAGATCTTCTGCCTTTCCTCCCTAAGATCTTCCCCCCCCCCCCTCCCAGTTCCCTGTTGAGATCATTTAGTTCCCCCCTTTTCCTTCTACCTTTTCCCACCCTCAGTTCTTCTCCCTTTTCCTACCAAAGATCTTTCCCCCCCTTTCCTCCCTAAGTCCTTTTCCCTGAGTTCGTCTCCATTTGCCTCCCTAAGATCTTTTCCCCCCTTTCCCGCTTAAGATCCTTTCCCCCGTTTCCCCCCTAAGGCCTTTTCCCCCCAAGATCTCCATTCCCGTTTGAGATCCTGTCCCCCCATTGCCCCTTAGGGCCTGATCTTTTCCCCCCTTTCCCCCTTAAGGCATTGTTTTCCCAGATCTTCTCCCTTTCCTCCCTGAGATCTTTCCCCCCCTTTCGCTGTTGAGATCCTTTCCCCCTTTCCCCCCCTCATTTTCTTCACCAGCATGGGCAACATCCCCAGCATCACTTGCATCATCCGCATCCTTGGCAGGCGCTGATGCGGATGATGCAGGTGATGCGGGCGATGTGGCGCTGGCTAAGGATGCGAAAGCGCACCCGGGGGGAATCGAACACCCTAATGTTTTTGACAAACTGAGTTGCGCAAGCCCGCCCAATGAACAAATTTAGTGAAGCGTCTTCAAATCACCGCGTGGTACGGGCCCCCCGCAACCCCTGGAAAGGGGTTGGGGGAGGGGTAACAAGTAAAGAGGTAAGGAGCATTTTGTGTCCAACACGCCGTCTGTTGTCGGCGGATTGTTCGTGGTTGCCTGGTTGGGAGACAGACTCTCAACAAATATTTGTTGGTTCCATCCCGAGTAACAAGCAGCCCCCCTGCAGCCCCGCAGCCTTTGTTTGCAGCTAGAAGATTCGAGACATTGTCCTCTCCCAGCCACTGACGCAAAATGCAACATGATCCGATTAAGTTTTTTGGAAGTCCATGATTACGTTACAGGAACAGTCTGTGGTCAACATCCACAGTCATCTTGAGACGTAAAGAGGATAACAATGGTCGGGTGCACTCACCAAATTCCCATTTGCAAATGAGAGCTGCTTGGCGGAGATGCAATGAAGATTGCTGATGGCTTATGTTAGTACGCGAGGGAAGCAATTATGACTGCCTTTTTGTTTACGATCAGTTGCTCGGCGTCTTGAAGAGGAGCAAGCAGGACAGTTTGCAGCTGCTTCTAAGCGCATGATTATTGTTGCGGGGTGTTGCTTGCCGCCCTTTTTGCTGCCCCTCGTTATTGCAAAATGAAAAGGCTAGTCAAGATCTAGATTGCAGCAAGGCAATCCTAGGTGTTCCCTGAAAGCTGTTCGACCTCTTGGATGTTTGACTCAGTCGATCTTTGAGGCATGTCGCGCCAACATGGACTGAGCTTCCTTTGCGAAGTTGCCAGCGTTGCCTTTTGTAGAGTTTCCATGATTTCAGGCCTGCGGCCGCTTTGTTTCCTGGCCAAAGCTTATTGGTCGCTTGTGTTGAGTTTGCCACGCAAAGCCCGCCGCAACCAACTTGGACATGCGTGATTTTGTCCTGGGCCCTTTCGGACGCCATCTTGGACTGAAAGGCTGCTACTTAGTCTACAATCGCTACACAACTCTCAATGCCACTGGACAAATGAAAAGCAGGTTGCAGGGAGAAGCAGAGGGCCCCGAGCTCGGTTTAAGCATGGTGGGTTTCCTTTTGGTTGTTCTTTCAACTCACTCCAGAGGTGACTTCTGGCTCCTTTTGGGATTCGCCCGTTTCTCGTGTGAAACCCACCTACCGACTGGTCGGAGCGCCAGATGTGGCTTTCCGCCATGGGCCCGGGCCTTGGAGGTTGGGACTTGGGTTGGCAAGGTTTGGGGGCCTGCAGACTTTGAACCAACACTAAAAGGCCCTAAACCCAAACAAACCAGCAACTTTCAACTGTTGTCAGCCCTGTTGTTTCCCCATTTCCGGGATCTGTTCTTTTGGAATTGGGGGGCAAAGAACCGGGGTCTTGGCGACTTCTCAGCAGCACCTCGCAGGGTTGGAGTTCGTGGTTGTTCTGGGACTGCCAGATCGGAGGATGTCAAACTTGGCGACGCACTGGGAGATTGGCCTCTTGCACCAGCGAGCGCATTCTAAACCCCAGACTCCGGGCAAGAGACTGCTGTGGATGTTTTTGAGTTCCAAGCACGTCCACAGTGTTAAAGCCTGATTGAAACTGCCAGATCTCAAGCAGCTGTCGAATCTAGACAGGAGTGAGGCTGCCATCACCATTGGCTGACATGTGTGGTACAGGAGAACTGCAAGTAATAAGCTGCATCAAAGGCAAGCAATTTCGGGGCCCTTCTCAGGCCATCACTCACGGTTGGTAAATGGCGGCACCTGGAGCCCCAACAATGGAAGCCTGTTTGAGAGATCCAAATAGACCTAGTTACAGCAAGAGGCTGGCCCCTCACTGGGCTCTCAGAGTCTCAGGCCTGGACGTCTCGGACGCCACAGCGGTGTTCAAGCTGATCTGCGAGCAGCTGGACGGCGAAAATCTCTCCGCCCGAGGCGAAATGGTCCTTATCGGAGTTTGTGCATGCACTCGGTGATCGCAATGTTGTTGTTTTGTCGAGGGTAGCCTCTTTCTGGTTAGTTTAAAGGGAACTCAAGAGAAAGCAGTCCCCCTATTTTGACACATACCCATGTGGGCAACCTTCTGAGTGGGCTCTTTCCAAGTTGCTTTGCTTGGGTATGTTTAGGGCAACCTGAGAATCGCCGGGGGCAAGCGAAAACAAGATTTGCCAAAAAGGGGTGTTTGTTTCAGGATGATTGTTTTGTTCTGATTCGGGATTGTTTTGTTTTTCTCCAGGCTGGATTCTGGGCTTGCGCCTTTTGTAACTGTTCATGTCCTTTGGTGGCTTTTGTGGCTTTGGCTTTCCACGTCCTCAGCGTCAACAGTCGCACCCCCTGCATCATCAGCAGCACCTTGTTTGCAATCGCGCACTTTTCGGTTAGCCGCCCCTTTGGTTGGGGGCCGTTGTTTGGCTTTGTAATGTCCTTAAAAACCAACGCCGAATCGCAACCCAACCCTGAACACAAACCCTAAAACCACTCTAAAGCAACCCTAACCATCCCAAACAAACCCACTACAAACCAGCAATAAAACATCCCTAAACCAATTCTGAACAAGCCAATCTTAACCTAAACCAACCTCAAACCCACACTAAATAAGCACCAAGCCATCCCCAAACCACTCTAAACGTGCCCTCAACAAACCCTCAACCCCCACTAAGCCCACCCCAGAACCAACCGAACCCTGCACCCAAGCCAACCAAACCACCCCAAACCTCCCCTAAACCACCCCAAACCTCCCCTAAACCACCCCAAACCTCCCCTAAACCACCCCAAGCCCACCTAAACCCAACCACAGCCTAAACCAACTCCAAACCCACAGTAACCAGCCTTCAACCCACAGGAAGCCAACCCTAGACAAACCCGAAGCAAACCCTATGCCACACCCTAAACCAACCCTAACACCCGGCGCAGCAAGACCAATCAAGCCAAAGCCCGCTTTTTCAACCGAAACCGGACCGAAAGCCCACCCTAAACCCACTCGAAGCAATGTCGGGGATGTTGACAGCGCTGCATTTTGTCAGGACATGCTCCAGGAGAAGCAGCAAACATATCCAGAATCAAATATCGACTCTCACACATTTGATCCGCAACAATTGACCTTTTTGGCAACCTGATGCCCCACAAGGGTGGACGACCGATGAAATCGGTTGGGGAAGCGGCAAGTGCCCCACCCGTTAGGGATCTTTGCCCAGGGAGCGGCATTTGTGCTGTAGGGGATAGCTTGATTGCCCCCACTGATTTTGTGGGGGTTCTCAAACACACATGTTTGGTCTAGAATTTGTTTGGATTGTTTCCCAGCACTATTGCAAGGGGTTGTCGGGTGGTCCCTTTTAGACTAACTTGTTAAGAACCCGAATTATACAGGTAAAGTTTGGAGCAGGATGGATAGACTCCATGCATTTCAAAAGAGGACCTTTCGGTGTTGGCTCAAAGTAAATGGTTTCGCTGTCGTAGAGGCAGGGTCCGCGCCCTGTTCAGAAGTTTGGCCAATGTTTGCAGATGTTTGACAGTTCTACACATTTTCTCATTCACTGGCTCAGTTGCTGACATTGTACGCAGATTGCTCTTTTCGGCAGAAGTAACGGACGCCTGCGTTCTTGGGGGTTGGTCCGAACATTGGTCAACGGTTTCCATCCCTTTCCGGGGCTGGAGAACTCAGGGTTCCCCATACGCCCGGACTTTTCTGGTTGTTTTTTTTGAAGGGGCGTCGGGTTCCGGAGCAACGCCCCGCGTTCCGCAGAACTGGTGAACGGCGTGTCGCGCCTTAAGGGCCCGGCCAGGACACGGAATCCAGCAGAATGGGTGCGGGGCAGTTTTGTCGCCGGAGGCAACTTGCGGAGGCTTCTTGTTCTCGTTTCTTCTTTCGTATGGGTTGGTTGCGCAAAAACTGGCAATGAGGTTTCTCAGAGCAGGCAGCGACCCACCTTTGCTCAGGCATTTCGGGGCAATCTTATTTGAAAGCAATTCGACAATTGCCAATTAAACAGCTGCATACAAGGGCCTATGGCTGCCTACCGACGCCATTGTTCGAGCCGAGTCCTCGGAAACTCCGCAACAAGATTATAACCACTGGTAAGCGCCATTTGATGGCTTTGTATTGGGCGTACTGTGGGAACGTGCCAAACATAGGCCCACCCCCCTCCTTTAAAAAGAGTGGATGGTGTAATAGTGATATTTTTGTACAACCATCTCCGGAAGGGTGTCGGTTTGACACAGGCAGGA